GGGACTTTGGAGGTCTTCTAAGCCAACCCTCTGGAGGCCAATCCTATACTATTTCCGATAACTGACTGTTTAGACTCTCCTTAAAATCCTTCCAGTGGTGAAGCACCCACAATTTCTGAAGGCAACTTCTGTTCCACTGGTTAATTGTCCTCACTGTTAGGAAGTTTCTCCTGAACTTCAAGTTGCTTCTCTCCTTGATTAGTTTCCATCCATTGTTTCATGTCCTGCTCTCAGGTGCTTTGGAAAAGAAGTTGACCCCCTCTTCTTTATGGCAGCCCCTCAAGTACTTGAATACTGCTACCGTGTCACCATGTCACCGCTAATTATTCTTTTATTTAGACTAGCCAGACCCAAAACCTGCAGCCGTTCTTCATATGGTTTAGTCCCCAGCCCTTTCATCATCTCAGTTGTTCTTCTCTGCACTTTTTCCAAAGTCTCAACATCTTTTTTGTAGTATGGTGATCAAAACTGGTTGCAGTATTCCAGCTGTGTTCTTATTAAGGTTTTACAAAGTGGTAGTTTGTTAAGTGACTGTTCAAAGCTACAGCAGCACTGAAAAAAGTGGCTTAAGACCGTTTCACACAACCGTTTGCAGCATTCCCATGGGTCACATGATTTACATTTGGATGCTTGACAACAGGCTCACATTTATGACGGCTGCGGTATCCCGGGGTCATGGGGTCACCTTTTGTGAACTTCGCACAAACAGAGTCAGTGGGGAAGCCAGATTCACTTCACAGCCGTGTTACTAACTTAACCACTGCAGTGATTCCCTTAAAGTTCACTTTAACTTAACGTGCAAAGAACGGTGGTAAAATGGGGCAAAACTCACTTTACAACTTTCGCTTAGCAACAGAAATTCTGGGCTTAATTGTGGCCATAATTCAAGAACTATCTGTACTATTTCAATCCACAGCTGTCCCCTGGAAGGAGCACTAACACCCAGGGGTGGGATTCAAAAATCCCAGCAACTGGTTCTCTGCCCGGTTGCTGGGTGGGCATGGCCATGATGGGCAGGGCCTACCGGAACTTCCTGTTTCTGGATTCTGGTGGGCCTGCAGAGCCTGGGGGAGGCTGTTTTCATCCTCCCAAGGGCCTCCTCCAGGCCTCTGGAGCCCCACTGGAAGCTGGAACCAGGCCCGTTTTGTACCTTCTGATTTTTCCAGGAAGGCCGTTTTTCGTCCTCCCAGAGCTTCCACGCGGACGCTGCCCTTACCTCCATCAAAAATGGGCCCTGTGGAGACTCCTGGGAGAGGAGGGGCCAGCGGTCGGTTGAAATACCGGTTAGGCGAAGCGGCTGTAACTTTAACATCCGGTTCGTTTGAACCGATCCAAACCGGTAGAATCCACATCCCTGCTTACACCCACGTTCCACTGTCTCACTGCTGTGTATCAGTGTCAAACAAATCGTCCTCTCCAAGCAGCGTAATATCAGTTGGCGTGACGGAGTAATAAAACCTGCCCATCATTCAGAATTAAGGCATTCGTACGTCCTGCAATTATTACAAAATAAAAATCACCGTGATAATGATCAGAAGTCGGCTGCCAATCGAAATGCAAGGCAGGCGAAGAAGAACATGTATCTTTATGCATCGTTAGCGGCATAATATCTGCCTGCTCCTTTTATGATTTGCTTTGTTATTATCTATATGACAGAACTGCCCAGAAGCCACATAGAGTTGATACAGCGCAAGACATAATTGTTTCAGCCTAGAAGCAGTTATTAATCTTGACACCTGCATTTGGGGTAAATAACAATTAGGACCTGATGAGATTTTTAATTACGACTTCAAACGCTATTTACACCAGTCGTTGTTTGGTGTATGTGCTTTTTTTTCCTTTCTCTTTTTAATTGGATGTTTTTAATTGTTGAACAGAGATGCTGTGCTTTCTATGGTTGTGCTCTGGGCTCTTTTAAGAGAAAGGATGGTCGGTGCCAACAAAATAAAAATGAGGCCATAATGAAATTAATCAGCTAAATATCATAGTACTGCTACTTAAATCCAATGTAGTGAATTAACTATATTTAAACACTATCCAAGCATTAAAGCAACAGATATATGAGCCCTAATTAAGGCATAATTTTGCTTCTTATTTTAAGGGGTACACCATAAAATAGATTTCCCAGAATCTCTGAAAAATAAAAGTAGCTTATTGGGGCTTTATGGATGCTTTCTGTATTTTCAATTAGTTAAACAGGGGAAAGGTTTGTGACCTAAGCCGGCATTATAGGTAGTCCTTGACTTATGATCACAAGTGAGTCCAAGGTTTCTGTTGCAAAACAAGCAACAATTCTTAAGTGAATTTTGCCCCATTTTGCAACCTTGCTTGCCACAGTTGTTAAGTGAATCACTTAAGTTCATAGTATGGTTGTTAAGCAAATCTGGCTCCCCCATTGACCTTGTCTGAAAGTTGCAAAAAGGGATCACTGCAAAAGTAATCAATGTGAATCAGTGGTCAAGCATCCGAATTTTGATCACGTGACCCTGGGAAAGCTGCAATGGTACTTAAATGTGAAAAATGGTCACTTTTTTCAGTCCCGTTGTAACTTTGGACAGTCACTAAACAAATGGTTTTAAATTGAGGACTACTTTGTAATCTGAGTCTTTTTTAACCTAACTCTTCTGGGATTTCCAGATGGCAATGCAAACCCAGAATATTCCTAGTCTAACTACCATGTGTATGTGTATATGTGTATGAGTGTATATACATACACATATGTATATATATTATACATACAGATTACAGATTATCAGAGTTGAAAGGGACCTTGTAGGTCAACTAGTCCAACCCCCTGCCCAAGCAGGAAACCCTACACCATTTCTGACAAATGACAGTCCAATCTTTTCTTTAAAGCTTCCAGTGCTGAAGCTCCCACAACTTCTGAAGGCAAGTTCTGTTCCATCGGTTGATTGTTCTCATTGTCAGAAAATTTCTCCTTATTTCTAGGTTGAATTTCTCCTTGATCAGTTTCAATTCATTATTCCTTGTCTGGCCTTCGGATGCCTTGGAAAGTAGCTTGATCCATTCCTCTCTGCGGAATTGCGATACTGTACATCAGAAATTAAACATTAGGTTGGGGTGTATAACTAGATTATATAAATAGTGTTTTCATTCAAGACTGAAATGACAAGGCTCAAATTATTCCACTTGGACACAAGATGTTAAAGTCCAGCTCGCTGGAGAAGTCCGTAACGTTAGGAAAGGTGGAAGGCAAGAGCAGAGGACAACCACCAGCAAGAAAGGTGATGGGTACACCCTTGGAATACCTGAAGGACTATGTTAGGAACAGATCATCATGGAGAAAATCTATCTAGGTGGTCTATAGGAGCTGGCACTGATTTCAAAAGCACATATCTAATCTGTCAATCAATGCAAGGACCCAATTTCCTTTGAAGAGTCCATAAAGCCGGGAATGCTGGAAGAGAGGAGAAGGACAACCAGGACCACAGTGGATGAACTCAATTGTAATGGTGATGGGTGCACCATTGGAAGACTTGAAGGACTGGGTTAGAGACAGATCAACATGGAAAAAAATCTATGACCCAGAGGAGCTGACACTGACTTAAATAGCACATATGTACTCTGCCAATCAATATGCAATATAGACCTCTCAATATCCCTTTGAGAGGTCTATATTGCTGTGAAAGTGGAAGAAAAGAGAAGAAGATGACCAGCAACAAGATGGATGGACTTGGTTATAGATGATGGGCCACACCATTGGAAGACCAGAAGGACCAAGTTAGGAACAGATCATCATGGAAAAAAATCTGTGTAATCTGCCAGTACAAGGAACCAATTTTCTTTGAGAAGTTCATAATGCTGGGGAAAGTGGAAAGAAAGAGAAGACAACCTAAGGTGGATTGATTGTCATAAGTGATGGGTGCATCATTAGAGGATTTGAAGGACCAGGTGAAGAGGGATGGAGAAAACTCATCTTTGCCAATCACTAAGAGTCAGCAATAACTTTTTAGCAGATAAGGAAGCATTTCTATGTTTCTACAAAATGCTAAACCAGGATAATAGAGTCGCTCGATGTCTATGGAGATTCTAAGTCATCCAGGTCATGGTTGTCCCAAAGGTGGTTTTTCAAGAGGCAACTGGACTTTCTTGGTTTTTCTTTGAAGACGTTTCGCTTCTCATCTGAAGAAGCTGAAGAAGCTTCTTGGATGAGAAGCGAAATGTCTTCAAAGAAAAACCAGGAAGTCCAGTTGCCTCTTGAAAAACCACCTTTGGGACGGCTTAATAGAGGTTTTTTAAAGGTAGGACATCTTATTGCCGGGGTAATTTATGGTTGGTTATCTTGTCCAAATCCAGAAAGTGGAATAAGGTTCAAACAAACGTAATTAAGGCTTCAAGGGAGCCTTTTAATCAAATAGGTAGCACTGCTGCTGCAAACACCCCAAGTGGCCACCAGGGGCAGCTCAGAGAGAGAGAGAGGGTAAGAAAACCAGCGCTGCTGCCCCCTGGCGGCCACCCAGATTATTGCAGGGCAGGGCACCGAAGTTTTTGGGTATTTTACCTCAAAGTTAAACATTCCCAACTTTCAAAAGGCAGGATAAACGTCTAAATATAAAGTTCCCCCCAGCCTTGCAGAGGAAACATTCTTGGACAAAGGACCCCACGAGCCCTTTCGCTCGTTTTATGAGGTAGAAGCCGAGCTTCAACTCATCCTAACGTTCTCCTGAGGGGTGAGAAGCGACAGAAACGAGGATCCTGGTTGTTGGGGGGAAACAATAAGCTGACTCTGTAAAGCGCTTCGAGGGAGCCGTAAAGCACCGCGAAGCCCTATGAAAGTGCGCTATTGCTATTCTCGTCCACCGTCGCCCGAGGGCGCCAGATTGAAGAAGGGAGGGAAGCTGCAGGCTTAAGGCCCCCGCCGGCCCCGCCCTCTCTATTTCTCTCCTCTCGCGCGCGCATGGGAAGTGGGGGCGTGGCTCTCACGGGCCGCCCCCCCCCCACCTCAGTGACGTTCCGTCCGCCCTGCCTCCGCCACGTTCCGGGCGCGCTCCGCGCGTGCGCAGAGGCTCAGCCGGGTGACGGCGGCGGCGCTGGCGCTGCCGGAATGGCGTTCACGCTGTATTCGTTGCTGCAGGCCGCGCTGCTCTTCGTCAACGCCATCGCGGTGCTGCACGAGGAGCGCTTCCTCCGCAGGAGTGAGTCAGCCGCAACCCCCCTGGAAGGGGAGGGAAGGGGGTGTCCCCATCTCTGGGTCCCGGGCGGGGCGGGCTGATGGAGGAAATACAGGTAGTCCTCGAGTTACGACCACGATGGAGCGCGCGCGCGCGCGCCCCCCCAAGTTTATGTAGCCAAGTGAGACCTGTGTCTCGTCCCATTTTGCGACCTTCCTTGACACGGTTGTTAAGTGAATCGTCGCAGTTGTGTAGTCAGTCAACACAGTTGGTAAAGGGAAGTCTGGCTCCCCCATTGACTTGGCCAGTCAGGAAGGTCTCAAAAGGGGATTCCGTGAGCTGCGACCGTCGTAAATATGAGTCAACGGCCAAGGGTGCTGAATTTGGATGGTGTGACTGGGGATGCTGCCAAAGTGTGAAAAACGGTCATAAGTCACTATTATTGTTATTGTTATTAAATCTTCTGTGAGATTCACAGCCTTTGGGGCTGGTTGGTAGCTCAACCAAGGACCTAGGAACTGTTAAAGTAGCGTCAGAGGATATAAGCTGTTCCAAATAGGGTGATTTTTTTGTAGAATCAGGGTATTCAAGTCTGATAAATTCAGAATTTCCAAATAGCGAGGCATCCCTTTAGGTATTGCTCCAATTACAATTGGGATAACACACAATTTCTTTTCCAAACTCGCTCAACTTCAGTTTGTAAGTCCCAATACTTTGTGATTTTTTTCTTGCTGGTTGTCTTCAGTTCGTGCATCACCAGGTATTGCAATGTCAATGAACCAACCCTTTTTCTTTTCAACTATTGTTACGTCAGGTGTGCTGTGGGCCAAGTGCTTGTCCGTCTGAATTCTGAAGTCCCACAAGATCTCCAGAACCTTCTCAATCTGATGATCCCAGTAGTTGTTGCTATACTCAAATCCAAACTTTTGGCACAGTTTCCAGTGAATGATTTTTAGCAACTTGGTTATGGTGTTCTAGGTAGTCAGTTTGTAAAATGTTGCTGCACCCACTGATTAAATGGTCAACTGTTTCATCACCCTCATTATTATTAGTCACAAAAAACAACAGCACATGAGATAACTATGCTGGGTTTCGTATCACAAACCACTAGTCGAACACTTCCCAAGCATTTAGGACTGCATGATGTATCGGCAGGTTATACTAGCAGATCCCAGTAAGGGATTAACCTGGGCGATGACCGAGCCAGTATAGGCTTCGTTTGGTTGTGTTTCACCATGATTCATTAATTTGCATGGGTTGTTGGGCGCACTCAGCTCTGCTCCTCAGCTGAGATTTCTCTGGCATGGTTGAACCTGCTGGTAGTTTGCACTACCGCCAGCGCGCTCTCAGCTTCATTGGAGCAGTTAAGCCCCCCGCCACGTCAAGATGGCACCTCATGGGATTATTATGATTATGATTATGATTTTCTCAGGGCCGTTGTAATTTTGAACGGTCACTGAATGAAATCTGGTAAGTAGAAGGCTACTTGGGTTGGAGAATAGTTGTAGCTCCAGGGTTGGAATGGAGCGTGGTGTCTACTGAAGATGTTACCTAATTAAGATAAATGAAACATCTGCAAGAAAGCTCAGAAAGCACCAAGGACCCCTCATGTCAACCCTGAGCTATAAATATTCTCCTTGATTGATGCAGATACAGATTAACAGAGTTGGAAGGGACCTTGTAGGTCATCTACTCCAACCCTTTGCCCAGGCAGACCCTACACCAAAACTGACTAATGGCAGTCCAATCTCTTCTTGAAAGCTTCTGGTGATGAAGCTCCCACAACTTCTAAGGGCAACTTCTGTTCCATGGGTTGAATGTTGGTAATGAAATGTCTGCAAGCAAACAGCCAAGTTTAGAGAGCATGAAATATAGAATTTGTCAATGGCACCTTCCCATAATTACATAATTATGTATTAGGGTGCTGCAAGACTGATTTATTCATTAATTCAATCAGTCAGAATGGAGCCGTCGTCTAGTCCAGCCCCCTGCTCAAGCTTAAATTTATTTTTCTTCTGTTTATATAGCTGCCCATTTTCTGAAAAAGGTGACTGTAGGTGTGGGGCACAATAAAAAATAAATCATAAATCTCCAGCTTTGCTTTTTTTACCAGTAGCTTTTACAGATACTCCATGACTCTTACACGGTTTAATTGCCTTTCGAAGTTACTGCCATATGGAAAAAAGTGACCTAAGACCATTTTCCAGACTTACAACTGTTGCAGCATCTCCATGGCCACATGATCAAAATTCAGACTCTTTGCAACTGACTCGTATTTATGACGGTTGCAGCATTCCAGGATCCTGTGATCCGTATCACCCATCCCCTCCCACTTGTGACTGTATGACTGTAACTTTGTCGCTTGCATCCTTGCGATTTATATTGACTGTTTCCTAGTATGATTCGATTGTTGATTGTACCCTATGACTATCATTAAGTGTTGTACCTGATGATTCTTGACTCTTGACAAATGTATCTTTTCTTTTATGGACACTGAGAGCATTTGCACCAAGACAAATTCCTTGTGTGTCCAATCACACTTGGCCAATAAAGAATTCTATTCTACTCTACTCTACTCTACTCTACTCTACTCTACTCTACTCTACTCTACTCTACTCTATTCCCTTTTGCAAACTTCTGACAAGCAAAGTCGATAGGGATGCCAAATTTAGCTAACCATCTTCCTAACTTAACAACTGTATGCGGGTATATGCATAATGCTTATCCTTTGAGAGTGGAATTGCAGCAAAATTTCATTTTAACATACGCTGATTAATATACATTTAAAGTGACAAAGCTCTATTCTAACTGCTGTGATTCACTTAAACTATGTCAAGAAAGGTCATAAAATGGGGCGAAATTCACTCAACTGTCTTGCTTAACAGCAGAAATGTTGGGCTCAATAAATTGAGGATTACCTGTATTAATTAAGAATTCTTAGCACTTAAGATGATTCCTAGTAGGGTAATGAAACAACTACCAGAAAACTACCAAGGAGTCCACAGTTTCACCCTGAGCTGCAAATATTCCCTTCTGTTGGTGCGAGCTACAAGGTTGTGCAAACCAAATGTTGTGCAAACTGCTGAACTGTTTGCTAACTGTCTCTAACTACTACACTTGTGATTTCTGAACTTTCAGGTGGCCAAGCAACCAAATTTTGACCCCGTGACGGGTTCTGTAATAACTGTGTGAGAACCAGTTGTAAATCACTTTTTTCCCCGCTGTAACTAAATGAAGGATTTGTAAGTCATGGAATACTTATGTTTGCTAGTTCCCACAAACACATAGTCCTCGAATTAACAACAGTTAATTTAGTGACCGTTCAAAGTTACAACAGCACTGAAAAAAGTGTCTTACAACTGTTTTTCACACTTACGATGGTTCCAGCATCCCCATGGCCCTGTGATCAAAATCCAGCCACTTGACTCATATTTATGATGGTTTCTCTATCTTGGGGCCATGTGAACTATCTTTGGTGACCTTCTGACAAGTCAAATAAATGGAGCAGCCAGATTCACTGAGCAGCTATGTTGCCAGCTTAACAGCTGCAATGATTCACTTAACAAATGTTGCAAAAAAGGTCGTAACATGGGACAAAACCCACTTGAACAAATGTCTCACTTAGCAACAGAAATGTTGGTCTCAATTGCGGTCGTAAGTCAAATGCTACCTGAACCTTTACGTTTGTAGTCAAGCTCAGCTCCCATCCATTTTCTCAGATGCTGTGGAGATGTGGTAGAACTGGATTCCATGTGATACTATTGAGTGGTGGTGATGGCTGTGACCTAAGTCTGGAGGCTTCTCAAGAGCTCCAAACCATGAAAAGAGATCTTTATTGGTCTTTCCACCTTTGTTACTGAAGGAATACTAAAATAAGAATAGAATAGGAATAGGAATGGAGAGGATGTGATGGGATAGGGAACAATGTAGAGGAGAATAGAATATAGAATAGAAGAATAGAATAGAATACAGACAATAGAGAAGAGAGAATGCAGAATAGAATAGAATAGAATAGAACAGGAATAGAATAGAATAGAATAGAACAGGAATAGAACAGAACAGAAACAGAAACAACAGAATACAGAACAATAGAATAGAAGGATTGGATTGGATTGGATTCTTTATTGACCAAGTTCGATTGAACACACAAGGAATTTGTCTCCAGTGCATAAGCTCACAGTGTACATATAAACAGCAAGTAATAGATCGTCAAAGGTCATAATCCTAGTTACAATCATTAATCATGAAGTTACAAATAACAATTGATAGGAGAAGATAGTAGGAAATCTGAGAAGATGAGAAAAGATTTGAAAAGAGACAGTGCTGTGGGAATGAAGTATTATTAAATAAATAGTGTTTTGGTATAGAATTTTAAGCTCTAAAAACTAGCATTCTTTAGAATACCAAAATTCTGAAGTAACGTCATATATATTCTAGCAATCACTACTACTGTGTTTGAGATTTAAGAACTTTCTCATACTTATCAGATTTAAACAGTGGTGCTTCTCAATAACGATGGGATCATTTAGTATTTTAATTTTCTCTGATCAGTTTTCCAAGGAAAACTAATTTTCTGCTGCTTTTCTGATTCCTGGAAATTCTGCTCTTTGGCCATTATGAACGTTCTGGTTCATTTTATGTGCTTATTTCTGCTCGTTTTGTTCATTCCTTTAATGTTTAAAGAAAGAATTAGGAATTTCTCTTATTCATTAGGTTTGAGTTTGAAGCGGGCCTTTCTTTCTAAGAGAAATGATTGATTTGTATTATTATTGATTTGTATTGTTATTGATTGTTTACCTTACGTTCGCTTTAACCAAAAATAAAACTTTTCCATACAGTTGGCTGGGGAACCGATCAGGGTATCGGAGGATTTGGGGAAGAGCCTGGAATTAAAGGGCAGTTAATGAATCTAATCCGATCTGTACGGACGGTTATGAGAGGTAAGATTGACATAATATTATTGGTACAAAACAGTTAGGAATTAATTGAATTCTTTATTGTCATTGTACCTATATACACCAGAGGTGCTATTCGACCAGTTCACACCTGTTGTGGTTATTTGGCATGGGTCGCCGAACCGGTGGCAATCCCTGGCTGGGCACGCCCCCCACCCGGTCACCCGGTGGCTCACTTGCGATTGCTCTCCTAGCTTTCCGTTCCCCACGTCCTCTTTCTCCCCGGGGAAAAGGAAGAAAGGCATGGACGCTGCAAGTATCACTTTCCCCGTGTGAGTTAAAGTGTCGGGAGTGAGAAGGAGTGCGGTCTGACAGAGAGGGTGGGGGTGAATCGAGCCTTGGAGCACTTTTGCAAGTAAAAGAATCCACTCAAGCCTTGGAGAAATTTAAAGGAGCTGCTTCCAAAATGCTTGTCTGTTAAGTGCTGTGTGTGTGTGAGAGAGAGAGAGAGGGAAAGAAAAAGAAGGAAAAGGAAAGAAAGAAAGGAAAGAAAGATGAAGGTAGAGAAAGAAAGAAAAAAATAGGAAGAGAGAGAGAGATAAAAAAAACTCTGTGCTATTATTTTTAATTGTTCCATTATTTAGCATGTGTTAATATTTTACACAGTCCCTACACCTAGAGTGATTTTTCTGCCTTTCTTTTGCCCAGGGCTACCACATATTTTTCAGGGTTTACATGCATTCATTGTCAATAGTCCAGAGCATAAAATACACATGTGTTTAACAAGAGTTGAAAGGGAACTTGGAGGTCTTCTAGTCCAACCCCCACCTCAGGCAAGAAAACTGAGGATGCCAAACTCTGAGTAAAAATCCTGGGAAAGGTGTCAGAATAATACTTAGAAAGGGCCTTGGTGTGAACCCTATACCATTTCAGAGAAATGGCTATCAAGTCTTTTCTTAAAAACTTCCAGTGATGAGCACCCAGAACTTCTGGAGACAGGCAGTTCCACTGGTTAGTTGTTCTCACTGTCAGGAAGTTTCTCCTTAGTTTTAAGTTGCTTCTCTGTTCAGTTTCCATCCATTGCTTCTTGTTTGCATTCTGTTTCTTTGGAAAATACATTGCCCCGCTTCTTTCTGGCAGCCCCTTAAAAGCCTGTTGCCTATCACACTCTTGAGTAAAGCATGTGAGCCATTTCCTCCTTTCAGTGGTCCATGAAAGTACATCTATAGTATGCAAATAATAAAGTAAAAAAAGGTGAACAACATTTTTACAGAACTATAGATAAGTTATGGCTGGGTGACAAAGAATGCCTGGGAGGGGAGGGGCCAGGTGAGGCACCCCTTGATGTGAGTGACATTGAGTTGGCCACTCCTACCCAGTCACATGACCACCAAGCACGCCCACCCAGGCACATGACCACAAGCCACGCCCACCAAATAAGCCACGCACACAGAACCGGTAGTAAAAAAAATTTGAATTCCACCACGGATATACACAATATACACATACAATGAAATTCACGTAACACCCAGAGACCAGACCCAACACGCACACACATATGACAATCCTCAAACACCTCCCCCCCCCCGGCCAAAATTCCCTGCCCCCTAAAAACACACAAGCATCCACACAACACACCAAGTAATACTGTCCAACAGCTCGCTGATGGTGGTCCTTATGTTCATTGTTAAGTGCAATTATAGCTCTGGGATAAAAAAAAATGTTCAGAAAACATGTAGTCCAAGTTTTAATTGTTCCGTATCTTCTGCCAGAAAGCAACGGCTCATAAAGTTTGTAAGCAGGATGGGAAGAGTCTCTGAGAATGTTGTGCAACTTTCTCAAACAGAAAGATGCGAAGATGTTGTCCAGGGCTGGTAGCTGGAGCCCGATTATATTCTGGGCAGTTTTAATGATTTTCTGTAGAGCTTTTTTGTCCACTACAGAGCTGCTCCCATACCATGCAAGAATGCCGTATGTCAGGACACTCTCAATGGTGCTGTCATGCCCTTGTTGGAGTCTGATTCTGAGGAGGAGGTTGAGCAGCTGACAAGGAGTGGCAGTGTGGCTCCGGTGGCTGTGGAAGAAATGGGGGAAGGGCAGAGTCCAGCTGGGCATTCAGAGGAAGACCCAGAGCCACCTCCTCTTCATCCTAGGGCACGCAGGGAGGAACGGAGAAGGGAGCAACATGGCTTACGGGAGAGAAAAAGGCCCTGATCTCTTTCATTAGCTGCAGCTGGGAGAACAGGATATAAGAGGGGCGTTTGCACACAGCTCTTTGCTGGAAGCAAAGCGTGCATTATCTTTGTCGAGGCTTATCTGGGTTTTGGCGGCCTCCCAACTGTGGATGCTGCGTTATCCTGTAGAAGTCTGCAATTTATCATCCTAGCCTGTCGTGTTAATTACTTCAGTGTGATTTGTGTTGGGTTTTTTTATTTCTAATTATCTTTACTTTGGTTTCGGACTGCATTTCTGCAGTTCGTAGACTGTTTTTTGAGGAGTTTGATATCCAGCTGAGGATAACTGGACATTGAGGGCCAAGTTGGAGGCATTAAAGGGAATTTATTCTGCTTTTCTGACTTTGTTATTTTTGTGTCACGCCCTGGGTCATCACAGGTTCTGCGGTAGTAGGACAGAAGTACAGATAGTCCACAACTTACAGCCATTCATTCAGTGACCATTCAAAGTTACAACGGCACTGAGAAATTCCTTCCAGCATCCCCAGGATCACGTGATCACAATTGCGATGCTTGGCCACCAGTTCATATTTATGACAGTCTCAGTGTCCTGGGGTCATGTGGTCACCTTTGGCGACCTTTTGACCAAGCACAAATGAATTGTGGAAAACAGATTCACTTAACAACGGGGGCAAAATTCACTTAAACACTTAGCAACAGAAATGGGTTCAGTGGTGGTTGTATGTCGAGGACTAGTTACAACTTTTTGCTTCTTTGAATCAGTCTTGGCTCCTTGGAAAGGCAGGCCAGGACAAATCCATGCAACTTTCATAGTAGTATTTTTCTTTTCTTTTTTAATTGTTTGCTTTTGCTTTCTTCCTGGGCTGAGAGAGGAGGGTTGGCCCCCAAGATCAGTCAGCGAGCCTCACCCCCTAAGGCAGGACTAGAACTCACATCTTCCTAATTCCAGCCCCAAGTGTCTTTAACAACGACACCAAACTGGCTTTTCCCCAGACAACTCGGTATTAACTAAATGTTAATGCTCTCCTCACATTTACCAGGCTAATTTCAAACTGCTGTACATTAATGGCACATTTGATTGCACGAATGCATCTATTCTTGTGACAACTTGCATCTAATGACCTGTTCCATTCCTAAGACCCGAGCAGGTCATTAGCAAAAGATGTTATTATTCATAAGGTCTGCACGCTTTTTTAGAAGAAATTTAGCGGAGCATCATTGCTTCCCTGTTTCCAGATCTCTAAATTTTAGTCTAAGAGCTCTCCTTTTTTTCAAGAGGAAAAGATTCTCTATGTTAAGAATCTATTTTAATGAGTTATTTATTCTAGCACGAAGTGAACATAAGAACGTTGTATTTAGTCGGCTTTCAGTTGCTACTCAAAAAGTACGACTTACTTTTAATATAAGTGCATCACAATGCAGAGTGTGATATTATATACCACAATAATAGTAGAATGGTGCAATGAAGCCAAAGGTTCTGGAGGCAACTGGACTTTCTTTGTTTTTCCTTCAAGACGTTTCCTTTCTCAACCAAGAAGCTCAGTTCTGAACTGAAGAAGCTTCTTGGATGAGAAGGAAAAATCCTGCAATGGGCGGGTGGGAAATCCAGTTGTCTCTTGAAGAAGTATTTTTTTGGGACAACCATGACTTGGGTGACTGAGAATCTCCATAGACATTTAGCTGGGCGCTAAACTTTTCAAAATAGGAAAACTATTCTTCAACCTTGAAACATGTTCTTGGTACTTTTAGCAGCTGTTGCCTTTTTTGTCGTTTACATGATTTAACTTCCAATAAGCTGGGTATTGTATGTTGTAAAAAGGAAGAAAGAATGTAAACACTCATAAAATATTTCTGTGGTCTTTTTAGAATTGCCAACAGAAAGGGAGAGGGGAGCAGTGCAGCAGCTTGCAAACCAAAACCGCATTCCATAAATGTTTTCAAAGATAGTAACTAGGTGACCGAAGTTTGTGCTGCGCAAAATTCTAACTGGAGATCATGATTGATGACTCTGGGCTATGGATGTATCCCATTGGAGAATGGGAATTACGATACACCCAGGGGGTGGGGGGAAAACCAGGGTCAAGGGTGACAATGAATGATGTGCTTCAGAGTTGGCTACACCCAGGCAGTGCTGGCATGTTTACTCCTAATAAATCCTTTTGAAGTTTTGGGAGTTTGGCTCGAGACTCATGGTTTAAATGGGGGTAACTGCCAGAATCCTGATAGCTAGCCGACTCTGAGACACCATAACTCGTTGTGTGACACACGGATACAGATAACCTGTCCTTAGAAGACAAGCCATAAAGGCCATCCTCAACTTAGCAACCATCCATAACTTCCCCACGGTGAGATGATCAAAATCCAGGCACTTGTCCTGTATTCACAATGGTTGCAGCATCACAGGGTCAAAAACAGTTTAGAAATAATTTTTTGTGAAGTGAACTTTGTCGTGGACCGTTTCATTTAAGTATTATTCTTGTCCTATTTAAGTTTTGTTCTGAAAAATTATCAAAACCACAAAGGGATGGAGAAAGAGAAACGATGTTTTTCCTCCCCTTAGCTATTCTTTTGAGTTCAACGCAATAGGCTGTTGTTTGAAATGATGCTTTTCTTCCTTTTTGTTTTTTTTTTCCCAGTGCCATTAATTGGAGTGAACGCCGTGACAATTGTGCTGTTGTTATTATTTGGTTGAAATTGTCTTCGGAAAATCTTGGATAGCGTCTAAAGCAAACAGACTGCAGACCGATTTGCACGTGGGATCCAATCTGAGGGAACTGCTGAAGAAGCCGCATATATGTCTCAATAAAGATGCAGTTTATATTTATTGTATTGCTTAATATGCACTCCGTTTCATTAAATCCAATGATTAAATTGAACCAGTTTTTTTTCCCCTCTACGTATTGTGGCAGTAGTCTAAAGGTGCTATTCTTTCATTCCTTTAAGCTTAGGGCTGAACATTCAGTCACTGAGGATTTCCCCCTTCCCAAAATGATTTATTGTTGGTTTATATATATACTAGCTCTATATCCGTGCTTCGCTACGAAACTATGTGGTTGGGCTTAGTTTTGGGGGAGGCAAATAAGTGGGGGGAAATTCTGCCTCTGCCTACCAGCATCCATCGGTATTCATCTGGCTAGCGTCCTGTCAGTGTGTGAGAGAGTTGAGGGCTGTTTGGAAACCGAAACATGGAAACTGAAACAGTATTTGCTATGTGAGCAAGAAGGAGACAGCAAGGAGCCTGGGCGTGGCTTAGCTCAACTGTTCTGTACTAAAGCTGCTTTCTAAACCGAAACTGAAACTCCTCTGCTTGGGTTTTGCATTTGGAAGAGATTTCTTTCCAGGTGGGGAAGGGGAGTAGAACTCCTTAGCATCAGAGCGTGTTAATAATAATAATAATATAGGAAATACTAATGCTCTGATGGTCATTTCGAAAATTCCTCAGTGAGCACCTGGAAGCCAAGAGGAACGTACGTGCCGAATTTCAAGTTTCTAGGCTTTACGGTTCTGGAGATTTTGTGACCCATTCCCCGCTGTCCAGTTAGAGCTGAAGATTGGATGAGAAATGAAACATCCTTAAAAGGAAAAAAATCGAAGTCCAGTTGCCTCCTGAAAAAAGCACCTTTGAAGAAACTGTGACCTGGATGACTGAGAATCTCTCTACATGTTTACAATGGTTTGCAGCATCCTGTAACTGAAAAACAGTCGTAAGTCACATTTTTCAGTGCCGTTGTAACTTTGAACAGTCACTAAATACTTGCAAGCCAAGTATTTCATAGAGGATGAGATCAGGATCCTACTGATCTCACCTAAATCCCAATTCAGCTTCCACTACCCAGCTTTGCCCCTCAATCAACTCCCTGCAACCACTATATTCCTTTAACTCGGAGGGATTTTCTTCTTTCTCACCGCCTCTGGATTTGCACAAAACAAAACATCAGGTCCAGGAGAGCCCAGCAGGTTCATATTGTACAGCACGATAAGTTGGGTTCAATTTAGTGCAGTGTTAGGAAGGAAGATGCGAGGCACGGCACAGCTGGTCTCAGGAAGTTGGATAATGCACTGTCAACAATTCTTTTTTATCAGTTTAGAAGTGCCCTGTCTAAATAGAAATTACGTTGGCAGAGTTTCAAACACTCAGTAAAGAACAAAACTCTTAACAAGTGTTGAATTACCTATCACGAGAAATTTGATCACTCGACAACATAAATGGATTCTCCAGGCTGCTATTATAGCTAAAAGATGGATATTGTTATATTGGAAAAGACACATCTATGGCTTTTCGCTCAACAGATTGAAAACCTGATCGTATTTGCTGCCTGTGGGTGGATTGTGTGTAGATGTGGACCTTGTATGGATAAATGTAGGGAAATATGGGACTCAAAGAACAGATTCCAAATAGTCATATATGAGTATTACAGACACATGATAATGATAAGAATATTTGTAGCTCAGGGTTGACATGAGGATCCTCCTCTACTAGCCCTGATGATGTTACATAGTTTGGGTAATGAAACGTCTGCAAGAAAACAAGCTCAGAGAGCACCAAGGATCCTTCCTCACACACGTGAATGTTTGTACCAGATAATTACATATAGAACTTTAACTGCTTGTTGTTCTAATCCAGGGGTCCCCAAACTTGGCAACTTTAAGACTTGTGGACTTCAACTCCCAGAATTCTCCAGCCAACTATGCTGGCTGGGAAGTTCTGGGAATTGAAGTCCACGAGTCTTAAAGTTGCCAAGTTTGGAGACCTATGTTCTAATCTAATAACATACTCTGCATCTTATTCTTTCGTGTGGTTTCATTTATTCTTAAATATGAATTTTTAATAATGTATATATGTTTTGCTTTTGCTTCTTTTGTTACTATTTTTTTTAAAAGCAATGCAAATTTTATTTTAAAAAGCTACCCTGAAAATTGGCTATGCTTTGTCTATCTGTGCCAAATTAATCACACGTCAAAACTGGGAGTCTGCCTTGACCACAATAGGCTGTGTTTCTTTCTTTCTTTCTGCCATTATTCCCAGATTGACCACAGGGAATCGTGGGGTTGGAAGAAATGTTCATCTGGGTTCAATTCCAAGGGGCAGGGGGGAGAGAGATTGGAGACAAGGAGGCTGCTTGGAAGGATGGTTTAATGGTGGACAGGACCACATGGGTTTGAAGTCCTGGGTAGCTGGCCACATGGAGTGGACAGTGAATGTTATTTATACCCTCTCTTGGGCTTTGAACTTGAGCTTCCTGTTCCTGTGGCAAGGAATGCATTCAATTGGTTGCGGTAAGATTCCCATGTGGAGTCATGTTTGTCTGAATCAAGTTTGGTTGAACCTGATGTAATGGGCTTGGTTGTGCCATGTGGTGAGATCCGCTGATAGATAATCCTATTATGTCCTGGAGGGCCATGTCTTAATCCCATCACCCTGGAACTGAAGGTCTTTTGTCTTGCAGATAGGCTGGCCCAGTCTTAACGGGCACCAAATATCTGCTGGCGGGGCAGGGAGCTGCTTTTTGTCTTTAAAAAAAACCGTTTCTCCTTTTCTCATCCAGGGGAATACAATATTCTGCCTTTTTAATATTTCCTAAACTATTTCATTCACCCAAGAGCGGTAGGTGCTAACTTTCTTCAATGGCTTAGCAGCACTTGGATATTGATCTGGTATCATAATTACTGTTTCTGTATTGCTCTTTCTCCCCAAGGCGCCCAGAGCAGTTTACAAGAGAAAGGAAAAAGTCTTCCTGCCATTGCAATAAAAAGAAAAATTTAAAATATAACCACAGCAAACTCAAAGGCAGCTGTGTGAACAAGAGTGTCTTTAGTCTGATCTAAGTATAGTATATAAAATCATACATTGCAATGTCCTACCTGTCAATGAATACTTCAGCTTCAACCATAATAACACAAGAGCAAACAATAGATACAAACTCAACCGCACCAAACTTGATTGCAGGAAATACAACTTCAGCAACAGAGCGGTCAATGTCTGGAATACTCTACCTGACTGTGGTTTTTTCCCCAAACCCCAAAAACTTTAACCTTGGACTCTACTATTGACCTCACCCCTTTCCTAAGAGGCCTGTAGGGGACGTGCATAAGCGCACCAATGTGCCTACCATCCCTGTCCTATTGTTTCTTTTATTTCTTTTATTTTTCTTATATGTATCCATGTATTGATAACTATGTTTTTACTTGTACCTATTATCTTGTAAACAATTGACAAAAATAAATAAAATAAATAAATAGTTGTTCTTAGAGAAATACAATGAATTTTTAGAGTTTTGGGGTAAAACCTTGTAAAGTGGAACAGTATCTGCTGCTAGTCCCTGGTTTACACCAGAGATTCCTGTATACCATCTCCTTTAGGATCTAGGGTCCCATAGACAGATAGAAATTCAATAGGAATGTGTTTTTTTTACTGTAGTAGAAAATAGATCATGATCTGTATACAGCATCAATGAAATTGATGTGAAATAGATGTTTATCTAACCGCCTGTTCAAAAATGTTAGCGTCGAGCAGGATACAAAGTAAGCGTTATCATCTCGATTAATGGACACGTTTATCTGTGCTATTTAGGAAAAATATATCTCGATTGCTGAAGAGAACAAGAAAAAGAAACGAAGGCCCATACAGGCAATTTTTTAGACGACTCCAAAGGTCCTTAAGCGACAGGACCTTCCGCCAAATCCCAATGACGGATCAGAGCGAGAGTAGGCTGGCTCGTCCCTCCTGCATATCGTAATAGTACAGCCCAATCCGAGACGTCTCCCATAGTGGGGACGGTACCAATGGTGTGAAAGAGGGGGAAGTGTTGCCTCCGGTCTGCTTACTTAGGGTCTCACCAAGGGCTCAGTCCGCAGAGCATTTCTCAGCAGCAAAGAGAGAGAGACTGTCTGGGGTGTCGAGGTACGGAAGGAAGGAGGGCAGCGGGCGATTTTCCTTCCCCTTTGTGACATTGGCAAGGAGTTGGGGCTGCTTTCCTCCTTAACAGGGCAAGTGTGTGTAGTAAGGCTGAATGGGGGTAATGATGAAGTTGGTAAAAAAGAGTTAAGAGCAAAGAATGCAACGGTGGGGAGGGTGCATGTTATGCCTTTGCATGCATCGCTGATCTTGCCATAGCTCCTTCCAAACTTTTTTGGGGAGCAGGCCTGGTGCCTGCTGCATCAATTGCTGAATGGGGTAGACTTTAATGCCCCAAAGGGGGTGCCCCCTGCCATTCCCCACCATTGTCTCTGTATGAGTCCCCGTTCTGGCTTTGCATTCCAACACTTTCGGCTGCATCCCTCCTTCCTTGAGCTGCACAGAACGAAAAGGAACATTTTATTTATTTATTTGATTTGTCAATTGTTTACAAGATAATAAGTATAAGCGTATACATAGTTTTGAATACATGAAATGGGTACATATAAGAAAAATAAAAGAAAAATAAAAGAAACAATAGGACAGGGATGGTAGGCACCTTGGTGCGCTTATGCACGCCCCCTAGAGACCTCTTAGGAAAGGGGTGAGGTCAATAGTAGACAGTCTAAGGTTAAAGTTTTGGGGGTTTGGGGAAGAAACCACAGAGTCAGGTAGAGTATTCCAGACAGTGACCACTCTGTTGCTGAAGTCGTATTTCCTGCAGTCAAGTTTGGTGCGGTTAACCTTGAGTTTGTATCTATTGTGTGCTCTTGTGTTGTTATGGTTGAAGCTGAAGTATTCATTGACAGGTAGGACATTGCAATATATGATTTTATATACCATGCTTAAATCAGACCGAAGACGGCGTAATTCAAGGTTTTCTAGTTCTAGAATTTCAAGTCTGGTGGCATAAGGTATTCTACAACGAGTAGAGGAGTGGAGAACTCTTCTTGTGAAATATTTCTGGACTTTCTCAATTGTGCTAATATCAGATACGTGATGTGGGTTCCAGACTGATGAGCTGTATTCAAGTATTGGTCTAGCAAATGTTTTGTATGCTCTAGTTAGTAGTGTGATATTACCAGAGAAAAAGCTACGTAGGATTAGGTTAACATCCTGCTTCTTCCTTACAATCTCGTTTCTCAACCTGAGCCAACCTTTTTTAAGATGTGTGGATTATGGGAATTGAAGTCCATGCATCTCCCAATAAAGAGTGGCATCTTAATTGCTGTTGAATGGTGTACTGGGGCTACGCTTGGAACCGCTTGTTTCTATTGTAGCAAGAGAATTTATGAAATAGGTGAGTTCAGGTGGGCAGATCTCTGAAACTGAAGCTGGACATGATGTCCATTTCCAGATTTTGTTTTCTGTGTAACTTTTTCTGTTTTGTTTTTATTTTGGGGGATTGGAGGAGAAGTTTCTGATGGATCAATTATTGATTTATTTTTATATGTTCCCTGCCCCCCTCTTCTTCTGAGCGGGCTCATCTACTTAGCAGAAAGATGCCTTCAAAAGATGCTTTTTTCCTGGACAACCATGACCTGGATGACTGAGAATCTCCGTAGCTATTTAGCAGGGAGACGTAGGGGAGAGGTTTCCTGCTTATTTTAACCATCTGTTGTTACCTAACCTAATTTATGCTCTTTTTCCTCTCTTCTACCACCTCCATCTTCCCCTTGGCTTGAAGGATGGCAGCTCGGCGTGCAATAAAAGCGGTCTTGGTGGATCTCAGTGGTACGCTTCATATAGAAGACTCAGCTGTGCCGGGAGCCCAGGAAGCTCTTAAAAAGCAAGTTATTTCTTCCAAGTTCCGTCGAAGGTTGTGCGGGAAAGTAACAATTTTACCAATCCCATTTCTTAGCTGAGAAGATGCTTTTGCAGGCAGGGGTATCACTTCCTCCCCTGCCCCTTGTTCGTATAGTTGCATCTCAAATTCCAAGGTGGGTAAAATGAGGACCCAGATGGTTGGGGGCAAGAGGCTGACTCTGTAAACTGCTTAGAGGGGGCTGGAAAGCCTTCTAAAGCAGTATATAAGTGCTAGTGTGCTATTGCTACAATAGCACTGAAAATAGTGACCATTTTTGACAAGACCGTTGCAGCATCCTTAGGGTCACGTGATCAAAATTCAGATTCTTGTCAAGCAACTCATATTTATGACGGTTGCAGTGCCCCGAGGTTATGTGGTCACAATGTGGCGACTTTCTGACAAGCGAAGTCAAGGGGAAAGCCAGGTTCACTTAACCACTGGGTTACTAACAACCGAGGCGATTCACTTAACAACCGTGGCGAGCAAGATCGTAAAATGGGGCAGAACTCCCTGAACAGCTGTCTCACTTAGCGACGTAAATTTGGGGATCCATTGTGGTCGTGCGTCGAGGACTGCCTGCGGTCGGATTACACACAATGGTACTTCTGCGACCCAAACATCATCAGCTTCTGTGTTTCTCCCGGCCAGGTTGCGCTCTGCTCCTGTGGCCGTCCGGTTTGTGACGAACACGACCAAGGAATGCAAACAAGATTTGCTGGAGAGGCTGAAGCAACTGGACTTTGACATTAAGGAAGACGAGATCTTCACATCTCTGACGGCAGCCCGAAATTTGTTGGAGCAGAAAAAGGTCCGGCCTTTGTTGATGGTGGAGAAAAATGCTTTGCGTGATTTTACAGGTATCTGTTCTGATCCAGCTCCCCAAACAGAACCAACGCTCTGAAGTTAACTTACAAGATTCCTTTAATTAGGACCCCCCAGTGAAAAGTTTCTCTGTCACCACAGGCTGATAAGTCTACCTGTCTGGAAGATGAATAGTTGTCTGCCACACCTATTCATCTCTGCCCCCTGCCTTTTCTTCCCAGAGCTAGGGTGGGGCTTCATTAGCAGCAGTGGCTCTTCCATCCCAAGGACCGGCCCATAGATTTCCCCTGCTCTCCTCTCCCCTGCCTTTGTACTGACCCAAACCTTGTTCCAAGGAAACAAACGCCAGATGGAGGTAACACCAAAACCTTTGAATGATCCTTTACGAATTCCGTTCCTTCCCGGTTAAAAGGCTGTTTCAATCTAATTGTCTCAGATAAGGACAAGCCTTGCCAAGGTTGCGCAAGGCTGCCAAGGACACTAGATAAAGTTACTAAGAACTATTTCAAGCACAAAGAGTCTCCAAACACCAACCAAGATATTCCGAACGTCCAACAAGGCTTGAGTGCAAAAACTTCTTTGCTTCCTGCAAAGAACTCCGGTTTCTCAGCTGGCTTTTATCACCACAGGGAGGAGCCATTACTTTGCAGCCTTACTCCCGAGTCGCCCGTGCTGCTGCAGCTGTTCTTTCCTTCGAGCAGCCCTGCGCGCACACGCACTTGGCACAGGCTCCTCGGGGGCCTCTTCATCACTGCTGCCAGCCTCCACAATCTCCGAAGGCAGCACGCCACTCCCTGATGGTCCTGGCCCCATCCCTGCATCACCTGCAGGCCCCTCATCTGAGTCCTCACTCTCCGAGACCTCAGCTGTCCGCACCTGCTGCTGGCGAACCACAACAGCCTTCTGTGCATCCACACAGGCACTGGACCCAGTTGTTCCTCCTTTTCCTCATCAGCCACCTCCAGACCTGGGGGCTGTTGACTCTCCACCTGAGGACTCACAGATGGCCCAGGCACCACCTCTGTCTCTCTCTCTCTCTCCCTCTCTCTCTCTCTGTGTCTCTCTCTCTGTCTCTGTCTCTCTCTCTCTGTCTCTGTCTCTCTCTCTCTGTCTCTCTCTCTCTCTCTGACAACTCCATTTCCTCTTCCCCCTTGCAGCTCTCAGGTTGCCTTGATGCTAACTCTGACTGCCACTCCTCCTCCTCCTCCTCCTCCTCTGATTCGGATGCTGGAGGGGCCGGCAGCCAATGGGCCACAAAATATAACCCTCCTTCCATAAATATAGCATTATACAGTATGTATACACACTGACACGTATGAATGATGTAATCATTGCTATACTATAATGGGAGTTAGTTTAAGGCTGCAGGCTGGTAGCTGGGAGACTGTGAGTTCTAGTCCTGTCTTGGATTTGAAACCAGCTGGGTGCCAGTTGCCAAGCAGCCGACTTTTGATCACGTGTCCATAGGGATGTTGCAACGGTCGTAAGGGTGAAAAAAAAACGATCGTAAGTCACTTTTTTCAGTGCCGTAACTTCAAACGGTCACTAAACAAACCGTTCTGAGTTGAGGACTACAGATAGTCCTCGACTTACACCCGTTTGTTTAGTGACCATTCAAAGTTACAACGGCACTGAAAAATGTGAGTTATGACCGTTTTTCACCGTTACGACCTTTGGAGCATCCCCAGGATCACCTGGTCAAAATTCTTGCCTTCTCTCCACTCTCCGTGCTCAGGGATCAGGAGGAGGCGGTCCTTGCTCATTGCCTGAGCACACTCTCTCTCTCTCTCTCTCTCTCTCTCTCTCATGTTCACTGCTTATAACCCTTCTTGGTCATCCTGCCCCCCTGTTCCTCCCTGCCTACATGCCATCCCAATCCTGAAAGGCCCTGGCCTGACAGGGCCTGCTCCTCCCCATTTCCCTCCGAAGCCAACAAAGCCACCCCCTCCATCTCCGCAGGCTCCAATTCTGTCTTCCTCCACAGATTCAGACTCCCACAGGGGCATGACACCAGAGTTGTGTACCTTGCTAAGCACTTTGCTCCAGCTTTGGCATCTATGGATACGCTAGCTTTGCCTCCCGTTCCATCTGGCCCCGATCAGTGTTACACCATGGAAACATCTTAACGTAAGGGAGATTTTAAAAGTTTAGTTAAATCAGATTGTGTTTCCTGTCTTTAGATCAATTCTGTGTCAAATCCCATTGGGTCGTGACTCTCCTTTTTCTTTCACCTAAAATGCTTTTTATGCATTTTTTGTTTTTGTTTTTTGGTGTGTCCAGGAGTTTTAAGTACGATGAAAGATGTTTAAGCCCCTGTTAGTAACTACTATGGAATTATTCTTGGATAATCTTCATTTAAGATAGCTGGCAGCCAGAGGACTATAATCCATTCTTTGCTTAATGGAGCCAGATGCTCCCAGGGACTGTTGCAAAGTAAGTCAAGTAAATGCATAAAATCCACACCGGAGTATCCTTCATTGCTGCGCTCTGATTTTTGCCTTTCGTAAGGATGCCTTCTCTTTAAAAGAACACCCTGGGCCTAAACTAAATTTCACCTTGGGTCCCATACTTCTTCATGGACAACAAGATGGGACTTAGCTTTTCTAAAGTATTTGCATTGATGGGTGAGTAGGACACTCATTCTCATTATTACGGTTTACTCCAGCTGAGCCCAGTGCTGGAACATCTGACCGGACCTGGTCTTGTAGGCACCAGGAGTTTAGCTTGACTTGAGGAAAGCTATGTCATTTTCTGCAACAAAGAGGATTAGGAGACCGGAGGCTAAAACATATGAGAAATGGTTGCAGGAATTGTGGTATGTCTAGTCTAATGAAAAGAAGGCCTAGGGGAGACATGATTGCAGTATTCCAATATCTCAGGGGCTGCCCCAAAGAAGAGGGAGTCAAGCTATTCTCCAAAGCACCTGAAGGCAGGACAAGAAGCAATGGGTGGAAACTCATCAAGGGGAGAAGTAACCTAGAGTTACTGAGAAATTTCCTGAACGATTAACCAGTGGAACAACTTGCCTCCAGAAGTTGTGAATGCTCCAACACTGGAAGTTTTTAAGAAGAGATTGGATAACCATTTGTCTGAAGTGGTGAATGGTTTCCTGCCTAAGGTCCCTTCCAACTCTTGTTATTCTATCCTATCCTAGTCTATTCTTTGTCCAGTTTTCAAATGCTGACAAATATACCGAATCTCCCCGCAAGGTTCGTAGTCTGCTGGAATTATGCATTTATTGGATTTTTTTTAAAAAATACTACCTTTATTACTTTATAAATAACTCAAGGCAATGAACATACCTAATATTCCTTCCTTCCTCCTTCTCCTATTTTCCCCTCCTATTCACAATCCTGTGAGGTGGGATGAGCTGAGAGAGTGATTGGCTCAAAGTCACCCAGCTGGCTTTCATGCCTAAGGCGGGGCTAGAACTCACAGTCTCCTGGTGATTGGCCCAAAGTCACCCAGATGGCTTTCATGCCTAAGGCGGGGCTAGAACTCACAGCTTCCTGGTGATTGGCCCAAAGTCACCCAGATGGCTTTCATGCTTAAGGCGAGGCTAGAACTCACAGCCTCCTGGTGATTGGCCCAAAGTCACCCAGCCAGCTTTCATGCCTAAGGCGGGGCTAGAACTCACAGTCTCCAGGTGATTGGCCCAAAGTCACCCAGATGGCTTTCATGCCTAAGGCGGGACTAGAACTCACAGCCTCCTGGTGATTGGCCCAAAGTCACCCAGATGGCTTTCATGCCTAAGGCGGGACTGGAACTCACAGTCTCCAGGTGATTGGCCCAAAGTCACCCAGATGGCTTTCATGCCTAAGGCGGAACTAGAACTCACAGTCTTCTGGTGATTGGCCCAAAGTCACCCAGATGGCTTTCATGCCTAAGGCGGGACTAGAACTCAGCCTCCTGGTGATTAGGCAAAGTCACCCAGCTAGTTTTTGGAAAGAGGAAAGTAAAGCCACCCATGGGAGCCCTTCCTCTATATAGGTGCTTGGATAGGACCTGTTTTAACAGATTTTTTTACATTTTCCTCTAGGCCTAGACACAAGCGATCCGAATGCTGTGGTGATTGGGTTGGCTCCTGACCAGTTCAACTATCAAACTATGAACAAAGCTTTCAGGTGAGCAGGAATAAAACCCCTCCCTGCTTGAATTGTTCACATGGGTACCTGCACTCCAGCTTGCTGAGTAGTACAGTGGGTTCCCATCCTGCCATACAGTGTTCTGATGCAGCTCTTTTTGTGGATGGTGTTGAAATTCAGAATGCGATAAACTGGTTTCGAGCAATAGCAAGAGCACTTAGACTTATATACCACTTTGCAGTGCACTTACAGCCCTCTCTAAGTGGTTTACAGAGCCAGCCTGTTGCCCCCAACAATTTGCGCCCTCATTTTACTGACCTCGGAAGGACGGAAGGCTGAGTCATCCTTGAGCCGATCAGAATCGAACTCCTGACAGTGAACAGTGAGTTAGCCTGCAGTACTGCATTCTGACCACTATGCCACCCTGGCTCGCTCCTTCCTTCCTTCCTTCCTTCCTCCCTCCCTCCCTCCCTCCCTTCGCAATAGCACTTAGACATATATGCCGCTTCACAGTGCTTTCCAGCCCTCTCTAAGCGGTTTACAGAGTCAGCCTCTGGCCCCCAACAATCTGGGTCCTCATTTTACTGGAACTTCGGAAAGATGGAAGGTTGAGTTCGCCCGAACAGGGGAGAACCGGTAGCAGCCCACCCCTGTGCCTGATGCTTCTAGGCCTCCCGTTGCCGCTCTTGTCCCCTTCCTCTTCCCAGGTTGGTGCTGGACGGGGCTCCCCTCATAGCTATTCACAAAGCAAGGTATTACAAGAAGAAAGATGGCCTTGCCCTCGGCCCAGGACCCTTTGTGGCCGGCCTGGAGTATGCCACTGACCAGGCGGCCACAGTGGTGGGGAAGCCAGAGCAGACATTTTTCCTGGAGGCTTTGCGTGGGACCAACTGTGGACCCGAGGAAGCTGTCATGATTGGTGACGTAAGTCCCTTTCTAGCTTGCTTGCTTGCTTATTTGCTTGCTTCTTTAGATGTGTATTGGATTTTTACAGCTGCCCTTCCTCAGTAAACGATCTGGGTGTTTAACAATTCAAAATGCGGTATGTACAGACTTCTTCAAACATTGAAAAGCCGTTCCTTTTTCATCCTCACTGAACTTATGGTTATTCAGAAAATTTTACAATGCGCCAAAATGGACAAACTAACCCAAGCATTAAAAAATAAAGAATCTTCAATCTATTATAGCAATTGGAATCCTTTGTACATTTGGCTTAATCAAAGATAGATCACCTCTAAGAAAACTAAGGCCGAGGCCTCCGAGGCAGAGATAAAGAAAAGCACTGCCGACGACAGTTTGGAAGAAGAAAAGACCTTACAGACAGTCACAAAAATATGGTTTTATTATAATTGTTTTCTCTACTTTTGTTTTCCCCACTTTCCCCCCCCCTTCCCCTCCCTTTCCCTCTTTCCTCTCTCAAGCTTTCCTCTCGTTCCCTCTTGGCCTATGCCAAGACCTGTTCGTCTTTTTGTTGTATATAATTTGTAGCTGTGTTGTTGTTGTTTTTTAAAAAGTAAAACTAATAAAGTTTATTTTAAAAAAAACATGAGGGAATAGCCTTTTGCTCAAATCAGTGTTCAACCTTTGAAAAGACACTTGATTCACATACTTTGCTTCTAATGACCTTCAGAGATTGCCCCTTAAAAAAGTAAATGGGATATAGAAAGTTGTTTTCGTTGGGGAAAGCTATTTCTTTATATATATTTTTTTTCTTTACCATAGTCTTATATTTTTTTCTTTCTATTTTTTATTTTCATTCTTTTCTTTTACCTTTTATCTATCCTTTTTTCCCCATTTGTATTCATGTTTATTGTTGCAATTGTCATTTTGAATAAAATTATTCTAAAACCTCAAAAAAAAAAGAAAAAAAAGAAAAGCTGTTCCTTTTTCTCTGATAATGTGCAATGTACCAAAAGTGCTTGTTCAATAGGCAAATAATAGGGCTGGGATTCTACCGGTTTAGGCGAACCTGGTGTCAAATTTGTACCTGCTTCGCCGAACTGGTATTTGAACCAACCAGCGGGCCCTGACCACTCTGCCCTTCCCCTGGAGGCCCTCCGGAAGCCGGAAACAAACCTGTTTCCGGACTTCTGGTATTTCCGGAAGGTCCACTTTCCCCCACTCCCAGGAGTCTCCGCATGGCCCATTTTGGATGCAGGTAAGCGCAGGGTCCACACGGAAGCTCTGGGAGAGAGGAAAGCAGGCCTTCAGGAAGTACCAGAAGTCTGGAAACGGGCCTGTTTCCGGCTTCCGGAGGGCCTCCAGGGCCTCGTGGAGGCCATTTTCACCCTCCCAGAGGCCCGAGGGAAGCCTCCGGATTCTGGGGAAAGTGAAAAACCGCCTTCCCGGAAGTTCCGGTAGGCCACGCCCACCATGGCCACTCCCATCCAGCAACTGGGCAGCGAACTGGTTGCTGGGATTTTTAAATCCTTTTTTTTCCCCCCAAGCTTTTATTTTTTAACAACAAACATAGACAAACATAAACGTAAAACAACAAATAAAACCTCCTTTCAATTTATAGTGTATTGCTTCGTACATGTTTCTTGTGCACAATATCTATAGTCTTTTCCTCTTAGATTTAAATTTACACTCATATTACATTAATCAACTTTCCACGATGTATTATATTATTATTACATTATCATTAGACTTTAATTTCAAATACGCATTATTCTTTAGAGCAAATCTCAATTCTTACTCATTTTAATTCATATTATAATTCATTCCAAAGTAATCCATTATAACATATCATTGCTATTGTATTATACTTCCGTTTCCTACTTTTCTATCTAACCATTGGTAAAATAAATCCCCCCCCCTTGCAAATAATGGACTTTGATTTTTCTTGAAGATGTTTCGCTTCTTATCCAAGAAGCTTCTGAAAGATTGAACTGAAGAAACTTCAGTTGACTTTTGAAAAAGGACCTTTGGAACAACCATAACCTGGATGACTGAGAATAGTGAACGTGTGATGTAGTTAGTTAAAGTACATAAATTTAAGCACCAATGTAACCGTTTAGCTTCTGCGAACTATTATACAATCGGATTTAACCGATTTAAAGAGTCTCATTTCGACCCCAATATAGCAACGAGTTCAAACTCTTAACCTGTCGAACAATTATTTTACCACTTCAATGCGAAATAGGAAAAAATAGCACGTGCTAAGGATTGTTATGAAAATAGAGTTCATTAAAACCCATCCCTATTTTTCTAGGTGCTTTGACAATCTGTTTGCAACTTGCACGTTTACTTGCATTTCCATTCCATTTGCAGGACTGCAGGGATGACGTTGGAGGTGCCCAGAACGCTGGCATGCTGGGAATACTGGTAAAGACTGGTAAGTAGTGCTATCTGGGCACTAAAAGAACTTACACTGAAAACTGGACTGGTGTTTATTTCTGTTCTGACTTATATAAAAAAAAATCCATGAATTAGAACATTTTCCCTTAGGAAGAAAAAGAGGTAAGCAGGAAGGTGCTCAGAGATTTACCTAGTCATAAGTGACTTGCAGAGACACCCTTGGAAGGGATCTTGGCGATTATCTATACCAACCTGTTCCTCCTGACTCAATGCAGGAATTGAAATAGAAGGATCAACAATCCATCTTTCATGTAAAGATTTCCATTGCGGTTGGCCTCTTCTGTACCCAAGTGCGTCTTTTTCTACTTAAGTTCTTTCATTGTCAGATGTCCCTGTCAGAGTCTGAATCCGAGGAGGAACAGCCGACAGGGAGTGGGACCGCGGCTCCGTTGGCTGTGAAGGAAACTGGGGAAGGGCAAAGTCCAGCTGGGCAGAGCAGGGGAGAGGTAGAACAAGGGAGAGGGAGTTCAGAGGAAGACCCAGGCCTACCCCCTCTTCATCCTAGGACACACAGGGAGGAACGGAGAAGAGAGCAACATGGGTTGCGTGGCTTACGGGGGAGAAAAGGGGGCGTGAGGAGGCAGCACGCATTGCCCTCTGGTGCACAAATGAGCACACAAGCAATTATCGGCACAGGAGCCCCAAAAGGTTAGCCACCTCTGCTATAGAACAAGGAGTCTCTCTTTCGTGGCTACTCCAGTAGTAGCTGAACGGCTGTTGCATCTAGATCAGCTGGCTGGGGAATTCTGGGAGTTGAAGTCCACTCATCTTAAAGTTGATCTAGATCAGGGCTGTCAAACTCCCGGCCTGTGGGCCAGATGCGTCACGCACTGGTTTAGCGTGGCATAGTGAAATGGGGGGAAGTTCCGATACGTCACGTGAAACTGCCGCAACTATGTGAGTGGGACGCTCCTGCCCTAGATAGTTGGGATCATTGCCTCGTTGTCTGTGTTACTTCACATCATGATTTTCCGATCTGATTTTTTTGCAAAGATTCATCTCCAGAGAAATAATTAGATCATAGAAAAATTAACAAGAATGCATTTCATCTACTGTTTAACAGGAAGGGACCTCAGTCCTTTGGTCAGCAGATAGGGCCTTCCATGCCCACTGGATGACTTTTAACAAAGCTGAATTACACTATATTATACTACTAACTAGAGCATACAAAACATTTGCTAGACCAATACTCGAATACAGCTCTTCAGTCTGGAACCCACATTATGTATCTGATATTAATTAACACAGTTGAGAAAGTCCAGAAATATTTCACAAGAAGAGTTCTCTACTCCTCTACTCGTTGCAGAATACCTTATGTCACCAGACTCAAAATTCTGGACCTAGAAAACCTAGAACTACACCGCCTTCAGTCCGATCTAAGTATGGTATATAAAATCATACATTGCAATGACTTACCTGTCAATGAATACTTCAGCTTCAACCATAACAATACAAGAGCACACAATAGATACAAGCTCAAGGTAAACTGCACCAAACTTGATTGCAGGAAATACGACTTCAGCAACAGAGTGGTCAATGTCTGGAATACTCTCCCTGACTCTGTGGTTTCTTCCCCAAATCCCAAAAACTTTTAACCTTAGACTGTCTACTATTGACCTCACCCCTTTCCTAAGAGGTCTCTAGGGGGCGTGCATAAGCGCACCAATGGTGCCTACCGTCCCTGTCCTATTGTTTCTTTTTATTTTTCTTATATATATCCATTTCATGTATTCATAACTATGTTTATACTTATACCTTATAAGCAATTGACAAACCAAATAAATAAAATAAATGAATGCACCAGTTAGAACATTGCAAAACTGCGGACACGAGTAGGGCTGCAGAAATTTGCGGTGTAAACATTGATCTCTGGCAAAGTCGGATGCTAATTCTGACCTAATTAGAGAATGTAAATTTATTGATGTCTGGTTTTATCGTTGCAGGGAAATACCGAGATGCCGATGAAGGAAAAATTCACCCACCCCCCTACTTAATCTGCGAGAGCTTTCCCCACGCCGTGGAGCACATCCTCCAGCATCTGCTGTGAAGAAGCACCGCAACTTTTGAAACCTCACCTTCCGGTGCCGCAAAATGAAATGGCCCAACGGCGGCATTCCACGCAGAGCGTTGGGGCTTCCTTGGTGCATCGCTGCTGGACTCCACCCTTTTGGGGACTGAATGTTCCCAAACATTCAGTTTGATGATGGAATGAATGCTCTCACTGTGAAAATGGCTTCCCACACCCCAAAAATGTTACCCTGTCCAACAGGAGCCTGTGCCCAACCTTGCTTGGTCCCTGAAGGCAAAGAGGGGAATTTGTGAGGTTGAATAAGGAAGGAAGTACGTGACTCGCCCTTATAGATTGCTCAGAATCACCTCAAAAATGTGAGATGGGTGGCAAATAAATTTGATAATAATATTATATTGCCAGTGGAGTTGGTCTGTTACTGCATGACTGTCCACCTTCGTGGAAAGGAGAAAAAGTGTGCCTGGTGCCCAGACCTTGCTAACATACCGTGGACTCACCTACCCTTCCCACTGATGCACTAACCCGGCAGTTTCTCATTATTTGAAAATCTTGTATAGCAGAAAATGGGCACAATTTTAAGGTTCTTCCTTAGGCAAAGACAGTTGGCATCTTTCCATGTGGGCTGCTTTAATGAAGACGTCCGTCCAAGCCAGTGAGTTTCATGTATGTTTGGAAATAAAAGTTTTGCCTGGCTTCTAATGACGAGTAGGTGAGAACTTGTTTTAAAAGGAATTATTTTAGAAACTAAAAGGAGTAGAAGTTGACGTGATGTCGTTGGTTTTGTCAGGTCTCTGAGTGTGTTTTGCTTTTTTTTTTTTTTTTGCTGGAAAACATTTAACTTCCAGTTCTTTGCAACAAAAAAAACACACCACCCACTGCAGACAATGGGTATCACTTAAAGGCAGCTACCAAAAATGTAATAAAATTCAGCCGGTTAGGTAGGTGTCTCAATATATGACTACTATACAGTGGAAATTCCGGTCTCTGTTATGGACGTACATCATGAACTATCTGTAAAAGAACTAGTCTTTCATATCCACTGCTTTTTATCCATAAAATGGGATTGGCAAGCGTGCAGCTATGTTGACAATACAAATTCAGAACAGCTGAACATGTGGGTTAGCCTGAAGAACCTGGATTAATTCCCTTGGTCCAATCTACAGGTGAAACTCGAAAAATTAGAATATCGTGCAAAAGTTCATTTATTTCAGTAATTCAGCTTAAAAGGTGAACCTAATATATGATATAGACTCATTACATGCAAAGCAAGATAGTTCAAGCTGTGATGTGTCATAATTGAGATGATTAGGGCTTACAGCTCATAAAAACCCCAAATCTCAGAAAATTAGAATATTGCGAAAAGGTTCAATATTATAGGTTCAAAGTGTCCCACTCTAATCAGCTAGTTAAGCCATAACACTTGCAAGGGGTTCCTGAGCCTTTAAATGGTCTCTCAGTCTGGTTCAGTAGGAATCACAGTCATGGGAAAGACTGCTGACCTGACAGTTGTGCAGAAAACCATCACTGACACCCTCCAGAAGGAGGGAAAGCCTCAAAAGGTAATTGCAAAAGAAGTTGGACGTTCCCAAGGTGCTGTATCAAAGCACATTAACAGAAAGTTATGTGGAAGGGAAAAGTGTAGAAGAAAAAGGTGTACAAGCAGCAGGGATGACCGCAGCCTGGAGAGGATTGTCAGGAAAAGGCCATTCAAAAGTGTTGGGGACTTTCACAAGGAGTGGACTGAGGCTGGAGTCAGTGCATCAAGAGCCACCACACACAGACGGATCCTGGACATGGGCTTCAAATGTCGTATTCCTCTTGTCAAGCCGCTCCTGAACAACAATGTCAGAAGAGTCTTACCTGGGCGAAAGAAAAACAGAACTGGTCTGTTGCTCAGTGGTCCAAAGTCCTCTTTTCTGATGAGAGCAACTTTTGCATCTCATTTGGAAACCAAGGACCCAGAGTCTGGAGGAAGAATGGAGAGGCACACACTGCAAGATGCTTGAAGTCCAGGGTGAAGTTTCCACAGTCTGTTGATTTGGGGAGCCATGTCATCTGCTGGTGTTGGTGCACTGTGCTTCATTAAGTCCAGAGTCAATGCAGCCATCTACCAGGAGATTTTGGAGCACTTCGTGCTTCCTTCCACAGACGAGCTTTATGCGGATGCTGACTTCATTTGGCACCTGCCCACACTGCCAAAAGCACCAAAACCTGGTTCAATGACTGGGATTACTGTGGTTGATTGGTCAGCAAACTCACCTGACCTGAACCCCATAGAGAACCTGTTGGGTATATTGATACACCAACTAGGTTTGGGTGAATAAATATATAAACCTAGGTTTAAGTGTTTGTAGCTTTAAGCACCAAACTGCAATGTAATTAGATAATTAAGGGTGCGGTTGCAAGCAGCAATAAAAGGCAGTGAGATAAACGTAACACTTCCTGGTCTCTGGTTCCTGGTCTTCCTGGTCTCTGGTCGCTGATCTGGTCTCTCTGCTATCTGCTGCCTGCTTACTACTGTTTGAGACGTCTGCTTGTTAATGCTTGTTGGCTACTGTGCTGGATACAAAAGGACTGTTTACTTGGTGAGCTGATATCCTGTGCATACTCAGCGTGGTCTTCCAGAGAAAGGTATCGGAAGAAGATATTTCAACAAGCAGATAAGGACATTGTACTGACTAGTTAATGGACTAGGTTACTGGATGGATATATTGGATAATGACATATGGACTGATTGACACTGCTTAAACTCTGTATGAATTAAACAACTATTTAAAACTACAAACAGTGTTTTTGTCTCCAGTGTGTGTATACTCTTGGGCCCAGCCTCTCTCTCATTTGGCTGCCTGGCTTGACTGATGCTGTGCACTCTGCTTGGGGGTTTGTCCCCAAACACTAACAGAACCTATGGGGCATTGCCAAGAGAAAGATGAGAGACATGAGACTGAACAATGCAGAAGAGCTGAAGGCCGCTATTGAAGCATCCTGGTCTTCCATAACCCCTCAGCAGTGCCACAGGCTGATAGCTTCCATGCCACGCTGCATTGAGGTAGTAATTGCTGCAAAAGGGGCCCAAACCAAGTATTGAGTACATATGCATGCTTATACTTTTCAGAGGTCCAATACTGTTCTATGTACAATCCTTGTTTTATCAATTGCATGTAATATTCTAATTTTCTGAGATTGTGGATTTGGGGTTTTCATGAGCTGTAAGCTATCATCATCACAATTATGACAAATCACAGCTTGAACTATCTTGCTTTGCATGTAATGAGTCTATCTCATATATTAATTTCACCTTTTAAGTTGCATTACTGAAATAAATGAATTCTAATTTTTCGAGTTTCACCTGTAGAATGTTTTTATTTCAGAAGAACAAACAAAACACATTATCTTCTCCGGTAAGTGCCTAATCGTAAAACATCAAGAGCTTTTCCATAAGTTGTCATAAATCCTTCCTTCCCAATTTAAACCAGGAGAGCTGCATCAGTGATGCTTCATTTTAAGTGGGCTGCCATTTATACCAAGGGTCTTCAAACTTGGCAAGTTTAAGACTTGTGAACTTCAACTCCCAGAATTCCTGAGCTAACATGACCACCTGTGATGACCCGTAGTCTCTCAAAATAACCCCAAACCCAAAACATATTAAAGTCTGGTAAAGCCTTCAACTTAACTTCACTGTTTTATTAAGCACAGTTTAAAGTCACAAAAGTAAATAATGAGGCAAACATAAAACCAAAACAAACCGCATTGATGAGAGTTCCGAAGCAAGCCGAGATAATTATAAACTCCAGGAAAATAACCGAGAAAAGTCCATGGGAAGAACGCCAGCAAAGATAAACCTCTTTCAAGGTGAATACTAAATTGACTTCAGCAATTCTAACTGCGCAGTTGCAAACTTATATACGTAGCTCCCAGCTGCAAGCCACGAGGAGGATCATGGTAATCTCCTCTTGAGTAGACCTTGCTTTTCCCTGATCCTCTCCTCCCTGCGTGACCTAGGATGGATAGGGGATGGGCCTGGATCCTCCTCTGACTGCTCAACCGGCCTCTGCCCGTCCCCAGCCTCCTCCACCACCTCTGGAGCCACACTCCCACTCCCTGTTGGCTGTTCCTCCTCTTCCTCAGAGTCAGACTCCACCAGGGGCATGACACCACCGGAGGAGGAATTTTGGGAGTTGAAGTCCACAAGTCTTAAAGCTGTCAAGTTTGAGGATCGCTGCCATATATTAAACTTCTGCTAATCTTTAATAATGATCCAGGCTTGGTTTTGAGGTGGCAAGTAAAGAGTAAACCACTGCTTGCGATCTTCAGATCAGAGGTGGTATTCAACAGGTTCTGACCAGTTCTGGAGAACCAGGAGCAGAAATGTTGAATAGTTCGATAAAAACGGCAAATCCCACCTCTGACTGGAGATTTTACAGTATCCTTCCCCTGCCACGCCCACCAAGCCCTGCCCTGCCCACAGAACCGGTAGTACAAAAATTTGAATCCCACCACTGCTGCAGATGTTTTAATTAGTCCTATTAACAGGAATACGTATTTTCTGACTAGCTTGTAGGCTGGGGGAGGGGGTGTCTAAAATAAGACTTGATTAGACCCTATTAATTTTCTATTATATCCCCTGTTCCATTTGGGAGGGATTCTTCCCTCATTCAATTTTAAACATGGAGGGGGAAATAGCTTGGAAACCAGAGGGACATATATTTTGCTTTTTGGGGTTTTTTAAAAAAATAATAGTTCTGATGTGAGGTAGCAGTTTAAAAGGAGCCCCATTCAGCCTGCATGTACTGTAGTAACACCCACAAATGGTCTTTTATAACAACGGTAAATAGCTTTCCTAGTCCATTTGGAAGATAAACTATATAAGCCCTTTATGATTATTATTTTGGGGGGGGGGCTCCTGAACTATAAAACTGTAATTGTAATATTGATCGTACTGAAATAACAGATTTCTCAAGAATTCCTGAGGGTGGATAGGAGAAAAATTCAGCATTATCACAGACTATGGCTAAGTGAGCTTAGATTTGGAATACATGTACAAGTCACGAAAAGAAATCATTGACGATTTCTTTTTGTTTTGCTTCTCATCCAAGAAGCTTCTTCAGCTTCTGTAGAGCTGAAGAAGCTTCTTGGATGAGAAGCGAAACATCTTCAAAGAAAAACCCCAGAAAGTCCAGGTGCCTCTTGAAAAAAATCACCTTTGGGACAACTATGACCTGGAGGACTTGAGTATCCCCATAGATATTTGTCTATTTTCAGTCTTCTGATGACCAAGGGAAGAGAGAGGAGCCCTGCTGGTCACTGTAAGGAAGCCTCCAAAAGGACATCTCTGAGACTCCAAAGTGATTTATTCTTCAAGGATATTCTTCAAAATCTACCGGTTTAATACAAGGATGCCCAAGAAGGCCCAATTAATGTCTTTCTTAATCACGTCCTACTATCTGCTTCCACTAAGGAAGAAAAGTGTAGCAGCAAATATTAAGCCAGCCAAACAGATCCCAAAATCTTCTAGCTGATACGAGAATAAAAATGGCCGGTCATGTTTAATTACAAAAATTAAAAAGGGCAAAAGTGCTAAAATATTTTTTTTTCTGTTGTGCGTATGAGTCTAAAACTGAAAAGATATAAGGAGGTTTCTCTAAGTAACCATTGGTGGCCTCTTCTCCATCATCAAAACTCAGTATCCAGTTTGAAAAGTGACACGTTTCTCCTCCTCTTTGTTTTTTAAAAAGACCCCAAAACTCTTAAGAAATGGGTTGGGTGGGGTGGAGGAGCTGGAAACATGGATGATTGTTCCAGATCTTAAACTAAGCTCAAACCGACTCAAATTCTCTTTGCCAATCAACGTATCTTTGACTTAAGTTCTTAGCAGAGGGCTTGGTATGAGAAATGACATCCAGGAAGTCTTCAGTTGTGACTGTGTCCAAGTGGATCACCGGTAAGTCTCCACTGTCTGAAGAAAGAAGATCTCCAATTAGAAACTGAAGTGCCACCCAAAATCGGTCCATCAATGGTCAATAAACTACACAGATCTCCTTTCCCCCCTCTTTTTTAATGTCAAGTTTTTTATTTTATATTCTTTGTACATATCATTGCGTGAATGGTGGAATACCTGGGTATCATACATTTTAATACAAATAGACATAGTGTTATTACTTCCAATTACCTTTCATATTATTTACGCCCTTTATTTTCTAATCCTCCCTCTTATTCTTTCATAGATCTTGGTATATTTATGTGTGTGTGTATACACACAGACACACATATATACACTGTTGTTCCCCTCTTATTTCTATCTCTATTTTATTTTATTTTTCTTACCATACCTTTGTAATATTCAAAGATGTGTCTTTGTAATTATATTTCTCTTATTTATGTCTTTCCCTCTATTTATGTTAAAATTTCATCCTTCTTTCTTTCATTAACCCATATATACTCTAGTAACTTGGATCTCCTCTTGAATGGCATGTAACCCAAAAGATGATGAGATAGCAATAGCACTTAGACTTATGTACTGCTTCACCGTGCTTTTACAGCCCTCTCTAAGCGATTTACGGAGTCAGCCTCTTGTCCCCAACAATCTGGGTCCTTATTTTACCCACCTCGGAAGGATGGAAGGCTGAGTCAACCTTGAGCTTGGTGAGATTCAAACTGCCAAAATTGCAGGCAGCTGGCAGGCAGCAGAAGTAGCCTGCAGTACTGCACTCTAACCACTGCACCACCGTGGCTCATAACATCATTGAATAAGATCATAGAGATCATAGAAGGGATACCTCCAAACAACACCTTCACGCCTTGAGTCCTGTTCTGGTTCCCACAACTGATTCTCACTCTGGGTGGGTATCATTTTATTCCTATCTCATTCCCCAGTATATCCAATATATCCAATGTATGCTATAGGGACGCGGTGGCTCAGTGGCTAAGACGCTGAGCTTGTCGATCAGAAAGGTCGGCAGTTTGGCGGTTTGAATCCCTAGCGCCGTGTAACAGAGTGAGCTCCCGTTACTTGTCCCAGCTTCTGCCAACCTAGCAGTTCGAAAGCATGTAAAAATGCAAGTAGAAAAATAGGGACCACTCTGGTGGGAAGGGAACAGTGTTCCTTGCGCCTTAACGGCGTTTAGTCATGCCAGCCACATGACCACGGAGACGTCTTTGGACAGCGCTGGCTCTTTGTAATGGAGATGAGCACCGCCCCCTAGAGCCGGAAATGACTGGCATGTATGTGCGAGGGGAACCTTTACCGTTAATGTGTGCCTACTGCATTGTCCTACTGCAAGTTTTGGGGAGCTGCAGCCCAACCTCGCCCAGAATACCGGACTAAGGGTTGGACTAGAAAGCCTCCAAGATCCCTTCTGGCCCTAGGATTCTACAAGTAGTCCTCAACTTGCAGCAGTTCGTTTAGTGACCATTCAAAATTACAAGGGAATTGAAAAAAGTGACTTGGGACCCTTTTTCACGCTTGCAACCGTTGTAACATCATCAGGTGATCAAAATTCAAATGCTTGGCAACTGGCTCATATTTATGACAGTTACAAGGTCCTGTGATCCCCTTTTGTGACCCTCTGACAAGCAAAGTCAACAGCGAAGCCAGATTCACTTAACAACCACGTTAGTCATTTAACAACTGCAGCGATTTGCTTAACCACTGTGGCAGGAAAGGCTGTAAAATGCTGTAAAATGGGGGAAAACTCACTTAGCCATAGAAATTTTGGGCTCAATTATGGTACGTTGAGGACTACCTGTGTGATCTTAGAATGTTTTATACCAGGGGCCTCCAACCTTGGCCACTTTAAGCCTTGTGGACTTCAACTGCTGGCTTGAGGAACTCTGGGAGTTGAAGTCCACAAGTCTTAAAAGTGGCCAAGGTTGGAGGCCCCTGTTTTATATCACTGACCAAATGGGAAGAGAGTTTACAAACCCTGAGTAAATCTGAATTGGAAACAAACAGAACGCCGCCATCTGCTGGTGCAGATTTGTAAATTTACCATTTACCTTTGTATATACGCTTCCTAGCTAACCTAACTAAGACATCGCTGCTTGCTTGACTCTGAGCACCTGTTCGACTCAAACACTCAAGAGGGTTTTGCAGTACCTGCCTGATGATTTTCAAGGGCGCAGAAGATTTTTCTCACAGGGCGCATGGCTGCCTCTTTGCAAACCAACTTAATGTCAGAACCCGAGTAGCCTTCCGTCTCCTAATAACACAAACATAAGCAGACACGTGTGCTTACCTCTGCAGAGGTCTCCCATTGCGGCTTAGTTGCCAAGCTAGCATTTAGATTAAGAAAAGATGGAGAGGAAGACAGGTTACGGGGATGGGTTCTACATCGGGCCACTTCGGACCCAACCCAAAAGGACTCCTGAGCACAAGGGGCAACTTAGTCAGATAAGCAATAAGAATCCCTTTATGATCTCCAACTTTGCCCCCATTGTCCAGGTTACCTTCTGGCTGGAGAAAAACTCTCCCAGGAACAGACTTTTAAGTGGAGGAAATTCAGTCCAAAAACAAAATACATACAAACTGTAACTACAAATCCAAACCAACCACACTGCAGCAATTAACTTGACAGGACAGGAGAAGAAATTGCAGACTTGAAAGCAAACACAGTTGGGAAGACGCCAGGAACATAGATAAGCCTCAATGATACCAGATAATTCATGATTTGCTCCCAACAACTTGCTGTGCGCAGGTTCCCTTTTTAAACACTGTGTTCCCAGCTGCAGCTAATGAAGGGAATCAGAGCCCTTTCCTCCCCCGTAAGCCATGCAACTCACATTGCTCCCTTCTCCATTCCTCCCTGCATGCTCTAGGATGAAGAGGGGGTGGGCCTGGGTCTTTCTCTGAATCCCCGCTCCCTTGCTCTACCTCTCCCCTGCTCTGCCCAGCCAGACTTTGCCCTTCCCCAGTTTCTTCCACAGCCAATCGAGCCACACTCCCACTCCCTGTCAGCTGCTCTGCCTCCCGTTCCGAATCAGATTCTGACAGGGGCATCACGACATGGAACCAGTCCTATGGATCATATTATGATGGACAAGAGGTTGGTGACGAGCTTGTTTGCCACCACAAGAACATCAAGATAAACTGCCAACCCTGCAGCTGACATGGCTGAAGCCATTTTGACTGCTTCAGTGTTGCCACACTGGAGCTGAGGGACAGGAAGTGGGGAATTGAGATAGCTGGGATGTCTGTAGCCAAAACAACACATTTTCTCTTGGGAACCAAGGACATTCTCACACCTGGTCAAAGGAAGGCAGTGTGATGCCACCAATCACTACCATGATTGGACCATCTGACTGATTGTTTTGAGAAAGTAGAAATTTTTTTACTTTTAATTAAGTGAAAACCGTGGGAACTTTCAGAGTCGGTTTTCACCCGATATGTGCCAATATGATAATTCCAATAAAAGTATTCTTTGAGGAATATATCTGTCTTTAGAGTCTTGCTTGCTATGGATTTATTACTTGGAACCCTTGACAAGAACATTACAAGATCTACACAGGTCAGACCAGCAGCCTATCCCATTCCTCATCTTGGCTGAAGGCCACCCGAGATGCCTTTAGGAAGACCTCAAAGAAGGCAAGCCCTGTGCCCTTGTTCCCCGCAGTCTGTAATTAACTGTTCCTAGGAGTGATGGTCCCACCAAACCAACAATACCAGTAAGCATTCTATCCTCCATAAACAGTTTTTCTCAACTTTTAAGATGTTGATGATGATGGTATCCATACAGTCATGTCCAACAATGCTTGGTGATTCTATGGGCCAGGTCTCTCCACATCTCCTGGTCCCCTGAGTTGTTCTATACTCTGACTGGTGTCAGCTTTGATGGTGTCCAGCCACCGTATTTTTGGTGGCCTGGTTACCTTTATATACGGGGATGGGATGGGATGGAATGGAATGGAATAGAATGGAATAGAAAACATGGAATAGAATGGAATGGAACAGAACAGAATAGAAAATATGGAATGGAATGGAATGGAATGGAATGGAATGGAATGGAATGGAATGGAATGGAATGGAATAGAATAGAATAGAATAGAATAGAATAGAATAGAAAGTAGGGTAGGGTAGGGTAGGGTAGGGTAGGGTAGGGTAGGGTAGAATAGAATAGAATAGAATAGAATAGAATAGAATAGAATAGAATAGAATAGAATAGAATAGAATAGAAT